TCCCCCTGAATTTAATCATTTTAACAAAACCTTAATCCCATATAAATAAAGGGAGAAGTAATGAATAATTCTGCCAAAAATTGTAACAAAAACAGAGGGGAGGGGAGTGGCTGGGCCAAACGCAGATTCTTTACACGTTTTCTCTGATGGCTGAACAGAGAAAACGAAATGTTGTCCCCCACCGGCTACCACACAGCTCCACAAGTATTTTATCAGAGCACACATAAAATATGCAATAAATGCCAGACAACAAGTTTACACTAATTATATTAAGTTAGCAATAGAATAGGCATTAAAAACACAATAAAAGGTAAGATACACACAGAGTACACTTATTACTTACCTTAAAATATTAATATTAATGTGTGAGAGGTGAGTGGCAGGGTGTTTATTGAATAAAATCAGAATGGAACACCATCATCCTCTAACTTGGCACTTAAAGCAAGAGACTTACGACTTCTCTTTTTATCACAGCTAACCTTAGATGCCATCGTCAATGAGAGCCAACTAGTTAATGAAAGAGTAAACAAGAGAGAGAACGAGATACAGAGTTGAGACAATGTAAGAACACAAACTGAACAGGTAGTGGGCGATCACTTGGTCAGGCGAAATAAATGCGTATTAATATGTGTCTATTTTTAGTTCATTCATGTTCATTTGTAAGAGTTTGTAAAACATTTACCGCAATATTTTATTATAATAATTACCTCACAATACAAATATTCTTACATTGTGTACAAGTTGTACAAGTTAGTTCAGAATAAACAAACAGCAACACACCATTTTGTCGGCGGATGGATTTATGAAGGATGAGGTTAATCATAGAATTGATGAGGGAAAAAAGGTGAGTGGTGCGTTGAGGTATATGTGGAGTCAAAAAACGTTATCTATGGAGGCAAAGAAGGGAATGTATGAAAGTATAGTAGTACCAACACTCTTATATGGGTGTGAAGCTTGGGTGGTAAATGCAGCAGCAAGGAGACGGTTGGAGGCAGCGGAGATGTCCTGTCTAAGGGCAATTTTTGTGGTGTAATATTATGCAAAAATTCGGAGTGTGGAAATTAGGAGAAGGTGTGGAGTAATAAAAGTATTAGTCGAGGGAAAAAGAGGGGTTGTTGAGGTGGTTTGGTCATTTAGAGAGAATGGATCACAGTAGAATGACATGGAAAGCATATAAATCTATAGGGGGAAGGAAGGCGGGGTAGGGGTCGTCCTCGAAAGGGTTGGAGGGGAGGGGGGTAAAGGAGGGTTTTTTGGGTAAGGGGCTTGGATTTTCCAGCAAGCGTGCGTGAGGTGTTAGATAGGAGTGAATGGAGACGAATGGTACTTGGGACCTGACGATTTTGTTGGAGTGTGAGCAGGGAATATTTAGTGAAGGGATTCAGGGAAACCGGTTATTTTATATAGTCGGATTTTGAGTCCTGGAAATGGAAGTACAATGCCTGCACTTTAAAGGAGGGGTTTGGGATTTTGGGCAGTTTGGAGGGATATGTTGTGTATCTTTATAGGGTGTATGCTTCTAGATTTGTTGTATTCTGAGCACCTGCAAAAACAGTGATTATGTGCGGGGTGTGGTGAAAGTGTTGAATGATGATGAAAGTATTTTCTTTTTGGGGATTTTCTTTCTTTTTTGGGTCACCCTCCCTCGGTGGGGAGGGCCGACTTGTTGAAAAAAAAAAAAAAAAAAAAATAATAAAATATAATAATAATAATAATATATAATATTTTAAATTATTAATATTAATTTTAATTATTATATAAATAAAAAGCACTAAACCCCAAAAGGGTCTTGAATTGCTATATTGTATTAGAGTAAAAGGTATACAAAAAGAATATTTTTCTACAGTTATCCCGGTTTGACTAGAAAAAAGTAATTCTTCCGACACTACCTACACAGCTGCTTTGTAAATAAAATCTTATATTTACATCAATTTTTATTCTGTGAGTGTATGTATCATGTTTATATGCTATGTAATGGTTTCATATATAATTTTGAGGAAAATATCATAGATGGATTAATGAAAAAAGCCTATATTGGGTGTAAAAAAAGACATTTAGCGTGCCAAGAGTGATTTTATTTGTAGTATTGGCGTCATAAGTAGAGAGAGACACTTAGCGATTTTAATGTTTTACCCGCACACCCGACAGTGTTTAAGTTTTAATTTTGCTACAGGTACACATAAGTATAAAATTTTTTGTCTCATAAACCCTGTTAGATAACCGGAATTTGTTACTCCCATTACACTTTGGTCACACTTCACAGACACGCATATGCATATATTATACTACATCTAGGTTTTTCTCCTTTTTCTAAATAGCTCTTGTTCTTCTTTATTCTTCTATTGTCATGGGGAGTGGAAAAGAATCTTTCCTCCGTAAGCCATGCGTGTCGTATGAGGCGACTAAAATGCCGGGGGCAATTGGGCTGGTAACCCCTTCTCCTGTATGACATTTACTAAAAAAGAGAATAAGAAAAACTTTATAAAATCTGGGATGCTTGAATGTGCGTGGATGCAGTTGCGTAATGACAAGGAAACAGATGATTTGCTTATGTTATGAATGAAAATAAGTTGGATGTCCCTGGCCCTAAGCGAAACAAAGCTGAAAGTGGGTAGGGGAGTTTCGGTGGGGGAAATAAATGGGATAAAATCTGGAGTATCTGAAGAGTTAGAGGGCAAATGAAGGGGTAGCAGTAATATTGAAGGATCAGTTATGGAAGGAGAAAAGAGAATATGAAGTGTAAATTCAAAGAATTATGTGGATTAAAGTAAAAGGTTGATGCGAAAAGTGGTCATAAGAAGCGTGTAATGCACCTGGAGAAGAGAGGGAGTAGATGAGATAGAGAGATTTTGGAGATGTAAAGTGAATGTTATAGGAGCCTTTGACCAAGAGAGAGAGTAATTGTGGTAAGTGGACCTGAATGCTAAAGTAGGCGAAACTTTTAGAGAGGTGTGGTAGGAAAGTTTGGGGTGCCAGGTGTAAATGATAATGGGAACCCTTTGATTGAAATTTGTATAGAAAGGGGTTTAGTTATAGTTATGATGTAGGGCGAAATGACAGTAGTTTGTTGGATTATGTATTGGTAGATAAAAGACTGTTGAGTAGACTTCAGTATGAACATATTTATAGAGGGGCCACAGATATATCAGATCACTTTTTAGTTGTAGCTACACTGAGAGTAAAAGGTAGATGGGATACAAGGAGAATAGAAGTATCAGGGAAGAGAGAGGTGAAGGTTTATAAACTAAAAAGAGGAGGGCAGGTTAGGGTAAGATATAAACAGCTGTTGGAGGATAGATTGGCTTAATGGAGAGCATAGGCAATGGGTCGAAGAGGTATGGGGTAGGTTAAGAAATGTTCGTGTTGGAGTGTTCAGCAGAAGTTTGTGGTTTATACAGGAAAGTGGGTGCGTGATAGTGGGGCAATGTGGTCAGATGTAGCAGGTTGTATGGTTATGAGGTAGGCTACTGAAAGCAGTGAAGAGTTTTATGAGGATATAGAGGCACAAGTTAGAGTATGTAGGAAAGAGGGAAATAATTTCCCAGTAAAAGTAGGCTTAGACAAGGATGTGTGAATGTCACCGTGGTTGTTTAATATATTTTATAGATGGTGTTTGTAAGAAAGTAATGCGAGGGTCCCTTGGCAAGAGGCGTGGAGTTAAAAGATAAAGAATCACACATAAAGTGGGAGTTGTCACAGTTGCACTTTGCTGATGACACGTGCTCTTGGAGATTCTGCAGAAAAGTTGCGAGATAGGTGGATGAATTTGGTATGGTATGCAAAAAATAAAAATTAAAATTGGATACAGGAAAGAGTAAGTGTTAGAGGGATAACAAAAAGATAAGTGAAAAAGATTGGATAACAGATAGTGAGGGAGAGGGTATGGATGAGGTGAATGTATCAATATTTGGAAGTTGGACTTTCACGTATGTTTCTATGAAAGGATGAAGGTGAAATCATAGAATTGATGTGGGAAAAAGGATGAGTGGTTGCACTTAGGAGTCC